GGAGTCAGGAATATACGGAGAATATGGAATGTGTGGCTAATTGCCTCCATGAACAACTGCCTTCTTTCCCATGAGACCAGAAGAAATGGATGGTGCCCAGCCACCATTACTGAGTATTATGATAAAGGATTCTGTGGAAGGATCATGATGGGGGCGCTGTTACAGAATTTCAAATTCTCAGGAGCTCCAGACTTTCTGGGAGCCAAGGGAGCTGGATGAACCCCTGAAACTATTGCCCTAAGATAATTCTTAAACCTTAAACCAAAATTATTCCATGAACTCTTAAAACCAAACAATAGCTTAGTTAAAAAAAAAAAAAAAAAGGTTTACCTAGAGCAGTATGCTATTTTAAGAACTATGTATATGTGGTAAAAATGTGGTAAAAGTGACAACTCACAAGATGACATGAGAACCGAACAAGTTGGTTTATGTAAATGAGGTAGGAGTGACTGAGCAGAGAATAGCTGCATGCCAAGACTGTAATCAGAGTCACGGAACTGTACATGTGCAGTTAATTGGTGTATGTTTCACTGAATATATTCTCAGCAAGAAAATAAAAATTTTAAAATAATAATAAATAAAAAACTGCAGGGAGCATGTCTGACACAAGGATTACAAAGCCCGTGGAAAGGCAGGGCCAGCCCAAGTCCCTTTCAGCTGTGCTGGGTACCACCTGCTAGAAAACAGGTAGAAGGACCCACGCTGCCTCTGCTCCGCCACCCTGGCACACTGGATGCCAGAGGATGCACAGTGGTCAGAAACCTGGACATGCAACAGGCAACACAAGGACCACAGAAACACAACATGAAAGTGATCCATCATACTGTCTACATAAATTTCATATTCGCTTCTCAGATTGCAGAATATAACTGAGAGATTTCCACGGGATTAAAATCAATCTACCGACCAGTATCAAAAGAGGTTGACATTACATCTTGCTTTTCATAAGAGAGCAAATTTCACCATTTATTTCAATCACCTTTAATTCCTATGAAGGAAGTTTTCTTTTCAGAGGTTGTGAACATCTTTCATTAGACTTAGTCTTAGATTCCTGCTGTGGTGGTTAAGTTTCTGTATCAACTTGGCTGTGCCTGGTTGAGTGGCTGGGCAGCTGGATGTAGTACTCCCCATGATGAGACTGGTAATCAACTCCATGGTTAAATCTATTGTGAGCAGCTGAGTAGCTGCCTTAGGGGGTGTGCTCTGCTTCCTGTATATAAGAACCAGACTTGGGAATGGTCTCTAGCTTATGGCACGCTTGAACCCTGCATGTAGCCATGTCATTGTTCAGCAGCCTGCCATGATCTGCTGACCTTGGGACTTTCAATGGACTTGACTGCCATGTGGTTTGGTAACTTTGGGACTGTGCCATTTTATTTGTAAACCTTGGGCTTGTTAGCCTCAGCAGCCAGTAGCTGCCTGAGTGAAGCAATGCCTCTAGCTTCAGTGGGCCAGGAGCAAGAGACATGGCTGAAGCCCAAGATTGAGGGGCTTTCACATAGCCCCTAGAGCCTGATACTTTGAACTTAGACTTCTAGCCTCCCAAACTGTGAGAGAATAAACTCCTGTTTGTTCAAGCTTTCCACATTTGTGGTATATTATTGTCAGAGCTATACTAAGTAACCAAAACACCTACTAATTTTTGATGCTTTATAAATGGTAAATTTATAAATAATTCATATTCCATTGAGACTATAGAAATAAAACTAAGTATCTACCTATATTTGATATGCAGGAATGGGAGCTCTGGTGGTGTAGTGCCTAAGGCATTTGACTGCTAACCAGAAAGTTAGTGGTTCAAACCCACCAGCCACTCCATGGAAGGAAGACTGGGCAATGTACTTCAGTAGAGATACCACCTCAGAAAGTCAAGGAGGGGTAGCTATGAGTCAGAACTGACGCGATGCCAGCGAGTCTGGTTTGGTTTGGTATATGGAGGAATATTGCTAAATATATTATAGTAATACTACCCAAAATTTCTACAATACTGTACATTCCATAGGCTTTTCCATACATACATGTGACATGCAGATACTAAGAGTTATTGGTTTTGTATTTCAATCCTCTCCATTTTCTTGCCTTAATGCCCTTGCTAGGCCCTCCAATACAATGTTGAAAATAAGATGTTGGTAGTCACACTTTTCTTCACAACATCAAAGGGAAGTGTTCAAAGTTTCAGCATTAAGCATACTTGTAATACTTTTTTATACTTAAAGAGGCTCTTTTTTGATTCCTAATTTGCAAGTTATTTACTAAGATAATCACTTACTTCGTTCCCTCTTCAATCTGTTATTCTTGGCAATATATCCAAGAGAAAGCCTTAAAGAATTGTGAATTTTAAAAATCAGAATGCATGGAAATACAAGGGTTGCAATTTATCCCTTATTCTGAAATAAAAAACCAAAAATGTCCCAAAATCATTACCTGATACCTCACTGAAAGGTCTGGCCTCAGCTTTTGCATATAACTTACTTCTCAACCATCATTATTACCCACATTACACTTCAGAATTCAGGCTACCTTGTCTAGCCTCCTATTTGGATCATAGCACCATGATGTCACTGATGTAGTAAAATAAAGTATCTGAGAATCAGAGTCAATCAAGGTCTATGCCGATCAAATGGCCTTACAGAGTGAATTCTCCCATGTACACTGAGATAAGGCAAAGCATTTCAATGGTAGCTTACATTCCCTGTCTAGGAAGAGGATCCAAGAAACACTTACAACCACGAATTTCTCTGGGCCCAGTCTTAGATACAGGCTTCAACAGAGATGAGAGACCTAATCCAACATTCTTTTCCACAGCATTTCATTTCTAACCTCAACATGATGTCAATATATCTGGATGCTACAGGGCAAATCTGCATGTGGATTTGCATGAGACAACAGAGCAAACTTTAAAATATAACTCTAAGTAGCAATACATTAAATACAGACTTTCTCTTATGGTTTATTTTATCTTCCTTGGTACAACAATGACAAATACACTTCCAAAATACATCTCATTTTATTTTTAGAAAAAAGTTTACCAAACATCTGCACTCTTTACATAAGCTTTCTCTTTCCTTCTATAAATCATCATTCTTCAATCTGGATACCTTGAGATTTGATTCTGTATCATGGGCTGAACACAGAAAAGATTAGGCATTTGGAATCCATTAAATTTCTCTTTCTAAGGAGTAACAGTTTCTTTAGGTAGGAGATGGAGTCCCTCAAGTAAAAAGTACAAAGTGAAAGACATTTCAGAAATATTTGCAGTACTGAATCCTGATTCCTCCAAGACAGAGCTCATCTAACTGCACAGCACAGTGAAGGACGGTCCCATGATGACTATATACACTGTAAAGGATTATTTCCCTCAGAGAAAATCAGGATGTTCTAACCAGTGAGAGAATGGACTCCAAGCTACATCAATACATTAAATGTATACCATATTGACTTCTATTAAGAAGTAGCTTTAGGCACACTTACATAGGCAGGAAAATACCAAAGTTTTTGTACTGTTGAAAATATATGATTAGTAAGCCATATTATTCTAGTGATAAGTTATTTGTAAACGAACTGGTATTCACTGTAGAAATTCATACAACATATCATTGTCTCTTATCTAATTATGTTTCATGGCATTCAGAAGTCAAATGTCAAAGTATGAAAATTCCATCTTATGTAGTACAAATAGGAATATAACACATGTGAGTTCCCTGAAGATCTTAGGAACTTATTTCTTAATATTACCCTGATTATTACATTTCCTTACACAGTTAAAAAATTACATGATTCACATTGAAATATTTGCTCTAATGATTCCCTAAAAGTTTGTGACATCAGGATCATGATTTCCTTTGAAAAAATTTCTAGAGAAAATGAACTTTCCAAAATAATTTAAATATTTTCCAAATTAAGTATGTTAATATGGAAAGGTGAACCTTCTTGCTGAAGGCTTTATCACATAGGATGCATTCATGGATATTCATACATTATTAATTTTGGGGGGACAGGTATGTCATCTCTAGATGAAGGATTTCCCCAATTTTCAGGAGTTTGTACAAGGTATGCGCTTCTAAAGTTTCCAATTTTTATAATGCTCCCATTCACACGTTTTCTAATTTGAAACCATAAGGTTTACTAACCTATGACTTTCAAGGGGAATCTGTGGTGGTACAGTGGTTAAAATGCTCAGCTGTCAACTGGAAGGTCAGTGGTTCAAACCTACCAGCTGCTGCACAGAACAAGATGTATTAGTGTGCTTCTGAAAAGATTTAGAACCTTGGAAATCCTATGGGGCAGTTCTACTCTGTCCTATAGGGCCACTAGGGAGCTCTGGTTGTGTAGTGTCTAAGGCATGTGACTGCGAACTGGAAGGCTGGCAGTTCAAACCTACCAGCCACTCCACGGAAGGAAGATTGGGCAACCTAATTCTGTAGAGATATCGCCTTGAAAACCCAAGGAGGGATTGCTATGAGTTGAATCAACTACATGGCAAGTGAGTTTGGCTTTTTTTTTCCCCCCCCCCACAAATATAGGGCCACTATGAGTTGGAATTGACTTAATGGCAATGGGATTATTTATTTTTCCTAGAAGTCTAATAATTTGCTTTATTGATTTTCTTCCTTTTGAGTTTTACATTTGTGACTTTCCAGTGATTATTTCACTCGTATAGTTCTTACAGGTTTAAATTGTTAAAAGCTATGACTTGCTAAAAGCTTTCCCACATTCCTGCTACAGGATTCCTATGTGAAATTTCTGTTGTTGAATGACATGTAAGTTAAAGACTTCCTCTCTTTTATTGTACTTATAGTTTCTAGCCTTTATGTGTTTTTCATGTGTGAAGAAGAGGTTTCTGTGGATGGCCCTTGCATATTCCCCACCTTCACAAAGTATCTGTTCACTGCAAGTTTTGTAGTGTGTAATGAAGTGAGTCCATTTTTAGTTTCCCTTCTATATGATTTTACTAGTATTTCCTAGAGGTTGACTGTTGATAGTTTCCCATTTTTAATTCATTAATGTTTTTCATCCGTGTGAGTTCTCTGGTGCATAATGAGCTGTGACTTCCAACAGAAGGCCCTCCCACACTCAGTGCATTTACAGGGTTTCTCTCCTGTATGAGTTCTCTGATGTGCACTTAGAATTGATTTCTGAGAGAAGCTTTTTCCACAGTCATTGCATCCATAGGGTTTCTCTCCTGAGTGAGTTCTCTGATGTACAATAAGCTGAGACTTCCTAATGAAGGCTTTCTCACATTCACTGCATCCATAGGGTTTCTCTCTCATGTGAAGTTTCTGATGTACAACAAGGCGTAATTTCCCACTAAATGATTTCTCACACTGACTGCATTTATATGGGTTTTCCCCAGCATGAGTTCGCTCATGTACTATGAGTAGTGACTTCCATATAAAGGCTTTTCCACATTCACTACATTCATATGGTTTCTCCCCAGAATGGGTTCGCATGTGTATAATTAGGTATGACTTGCTGCTAAATGCTTTACCACAATCACTGCATCCATAAGGTTTCTCTCCAGCATGAGTTCTCTGATGTGAGATGAGCTGGTCTTTCCTATTAAAGGATTTCCCACATTCAATGCATTCATAGGGATTCTCTCCTGTGTGAATTCTCTGATGCACAGTGAGTTGTGAATTGAAACTGAAGGATTTCCCACATTCATTACATTCATGAGGTTTCTCCCCTGTGTGGGTCCTCATATGTATAATGAGGTATGACTTGCTCCTGAAGGCTTTTCCACATTCACTGCATCCATAAGGTTTCACTTCTGTGTGACTTCTCTGATGTACAATGAGCTGTGACTTCAAGCTGAAGGTTTTCCCACACTGAATGCATGCATAGGGTTTTACTCCAGTGTGAACTCCCTGATGTACAATGAGCTGTGACTTGAAAGTAAAGGCTTTCCCACATTCACTACAACCATAGGGCTTCTCTCCTGTATGAGTTCTCTGGTGTACAATAAGGTTTGACTTTGTATTAAAAGCTTTCTGGCATTCACTGCATTCAAAGGGTTTCTCTCCCGTATGAGTTCTCTGATGTATAATGAGTTGTGACTTCAAACCAAAAGCTTTTCCACAGTCACTGCATTCATATGGCTTCTCCCCGGCATGAGTTCTCTGGTGTGAAATGAGCTGGTATTTCCGACTGAAGGCTTTCCCACATTCATAGCATTCGTATGGGTTTTCTCCTGTGTGAATTCTCTGATGTATAATGAGCTGTGAATTGAAACTGAAGGATTTCCCACATTCATTGCACTCATGACGTTTCTCCCCTGTATGAGTCCTCATATGTATAATGAGGTATGACTTGCTCCTGAATGCTTTTCCACATTCACTGCATACATAAGGTTTCACTTTTGTGTGACTTCTCTGATGTACTATGAGCTGTGATTTCAAACTGAAGGTTTTCCCACACTGAATGCATGCATAGGGTTTTACTCCAGTGTGAACTCCCTGATGTACAATAAGCTGTGACTTAAAAGTAAAGGCTTTTCCACATTCATTACAACCATAGGGCTTCTCTCCTGTATGGATCCTCTGATGTACCATAAGGTTTGACTTTGTATTAAAGGCTTTCTGACAGTATCTGCATTCATAGGGTTTCTCTCCTGTATGAATTCTCTGATGTATAATGAGTTGTGATTTCAGACCAAAAGATTTCCCACATTCACTGCATCCATAAGGTTTCTGCCATGAATAAGTTCTCTGACGTGAAATGAACTGGTCTTTCTTGCTGAAGTCTTTATCACCTTCACAGCACTCATAGGGATTCTCACCTGTGTGAACTCTCTGGTGTCTAACAAGTTGTGAATTGAAACGGAAAGTTTTCCCACATTTACTGCATTCATGAACTTTCTCTCCTGCATGAGTTCTCTGACATATAACAAGGTATGACTTGCTGCTGAAGTCTTTCTTATGTCCATTACATTCATAGGGTTTCTTTTCTGTGTGAGTTCGCTGATGCACTTCAAGGTATGACTTGCTGCTGAAAGATATCCCGCAGCAACCACATTCAAAGGGATTCTCTCTTACACATATTTGCTGGCATGAAAGTTGTGACTCTGGGTTAACATCTTCTCCAGATTCATTACCTTCATAGTATTTTATTCCGGTAAGAGTCTCTTCGTGTTTAGGACGAAGGAATGATTCCTTATGGACATGACACCCATTAGAATTCTTTCCAGCATAGTTACTAGTTAAATCAATATTAGAATTCAAACATTTTCCACGTGTGTCATGTTTATGAAGTTTTTGTCTTGAAGAAATATAATTTGTTCTAAGACACAGTTTTTCAAAGGCAGTATATTCATAACCTTTTGTCACATCTCCCAGCTTGCCTCGATTTTCCTGTTGCGATTCCATGTTATCATCAATTTCGCAGGCTTTTTCTAGAAATGTAAACAATCATGTTATTAATAACAACACAATTACAGTGTATTTTTTAAATTGCCTTTTAAATACTATGTTATAAAGTGGTTATTTTAGTTCTAGATATCAGATCTTAATATAAATAAAATCAAGTGTAAATGTACTCCAATTCCTAGCAACGAGTAGAACAAAGTGAGTCAAAAACAACTATAATTAAGTAAAGAAAATCTAAAATGAATAAAAGTAGCTTTGTGTTTAAAATCTTGTATAATGGGGAATAAGGAAAAATAAAATAGGTACAAGGAACAATGAGCCTAAAACAAAGAGCTTGGAAGCATTAGATTTATTCAACACCGACTACATGCCATCATACCTGGCTGTCAGTTTATCATACTGCAGTGGCATGTATGTTGCTGTGATGCTGAAAGCTATGCCACTAGTGTTTCAAATCCCAGCAGAGTCGTTCATTATAAACATGGCTTTCAGCAGAGCCTGAATCAGACAGACTAGGAAGAAAAGCCTGCCCATATATTCCAAAAAAGTAGCCAATGAAACCGTCTAGATCACAACAAAACAGGGTCTAACTCACTTGCTTTGGACATATCTTCAGGGGGCTACAATTTCTGAAGGAGGACATCAGTTTGGTGATTCGAAAGACCAACAAGGGTGAAGGAAACCCTCAGTGATATGGATTGGCACAGTAGCCACAGTGATGGACTCAAACATGCCAGTGATGGATGCAGGCCTAGGCAGCATTTTGTTCTGCTGTTCCCAGGATCACCACTGAATGGCACTGATTGGATGTCAGCTATATATCTATTTTTACTATAGATCTATCTTATACTATGTATAGTACACACAGCAAAGAACATTGCAGACTACTCCCCGAGTTCTCTTAGGAATAAGTTCCACTGAATACCAGACGAATTAAAACAGACCCACAAAGAACATGATCATAGTTGCAGAACACCAAGCACGAGTCTGGAGTGAAATTAATGATAAATACGTGAATGATGAGAGAAAACTAAGCAAGAAAATAAAACCGTTAACTCCAGAATAAACAAAAATTTGGGCATAAAGAAGGAAAATTATCCATTCGATACTACGTGATTGACTTGGAAATACAAATTGTAGTCATCATAATGTAGAGACCAAAGATTGACCTAACCAAATTTCTAAAATAACTACCCTAGGGTAATGGGAATATAGGAAGAGTCAATGTATATGTGGCAGAGGGTATGAGTGAGAGGGGAAAGAGAGTTAAACCCTTTACCTTCTATATGGACAAATCATTAGGTCACTGCCATAAAAGCAGGAAGGGGAGGAACAAGGTACAGCAGAATAAACTGGCTATTTGTTGTTGTTGTTGTTATGTGCCGTCAAGTCGGCCCCGACTCATAGCGACCCCTCCTTGGGTTTCCGAGGCAGTATCACTACGGAAGTAGGATTGCCCAACCTTCCTTCCGAGGAG